CCAATAAATAGTTCAATTTAAGTCGAAATTTTTTGAAAATTGCATGGTGGGTATAATATAATTATATAAATATTCGGTGAAAATGTCATGTATCTATGGTCATTTATTTTAAAGTTGCATCAAAAACCAAAATTGATTTTGTCGAAAACTGATTGTGGGTGATTTTCCCTTTAGTTTGCTTATCCCGATTATTTAGAAAAATATTAAGAATAAATTTAGAATATGAGAAATAATTTAATTTTTACATTGGATACTYCAAAGTACTAACTAGATTCACTTTCTGATCTAACAAGGTACTGAAGTCGAAAATCGAAGCATTTTTACTGCCCCAAAACGTGATGACAGGTATAAAAAAATACACATCATAGTAAACTCAGTACACTCCTCGCTCTAATCAAAATTTAAAATTTATAAATTTCAAATGGCATTCCGTAATCTGTTCTCATAATGCTTCTTGCCTATAGTGACGTTCAGTTAGATTGACTTGTTTATAGTCCGGATTTCGTACTCTTTTAGGTGCCAAAAATTTAATCCACTACCATGGTGTAGCTAAATTGCCTATCTTCAACGCCGTGGAATCATTATTTTATATAACATTATTATGTCAAGTTAGCATATATTATGCTAAAACTGTGAAATTATTATCAAGTATTTGCTAAATTTTGCTATAGTCACTAAACTTTGAAAATCAATACTCAAACATGACAATTCYAACTCTAATACACTAATACTGGGGTTAAATTTTAAAACTTCTATAGAACCAGAATATGTAAATYAACATTTTTATAAAATGTTTTTGTACTTTATGAATAGAACTAGTGCACAAGCAAAGATGTTATGATTGTACATAAATTGCAAATTATAGGTGCGCTATGCAAAACTCCAAAACGGCCTAAAAAATCTAAACGATAACAAATTTTTTGTATTAGTAAATTATACATAGTCCTACAATAATGTGTCTGAGCCAACTAAAAATKCATTAAATAAAAAAATTAATAAGAAATTATGATATTTTAAAAGATGGATCCAATAGAATCGAAATGCAAAAAAAATGTGTATCAAAATAACGTATTAGGAATAAACATTTTTAATTGATTATAATATACAAAAATACATACTACAACATTGTCAATATTATTGAATTATCAAATATATGTACCATTTTATATCATTTAATTTATTATAAATTCCGATAATCATTATAGTCTATATTAAAATTTATATTCAAACAATCAATATTCTCCAAATGCTGTTTTAATGTATTGATAATTAATAAACAATGATTAGATGGTACGGCAGATCAAACTATAAGAAGGTATAGAACAGCATTCACAAGAGAACAGTTGCTTCGATTAGAAAAAGAATTTTATAAAGAAAATTACGTGTCCAGGCCGAGAAGATGCGAGCTTGCCACCGAATTAAATCTTCCCGAATCGACAATAAAGGTATGTAATTTTATACTAATATGCTCGCCGTATTATTGCCGGCTTGATAGAACTTATACGTTTAGCTGGTGATATATTTTATGATGGGAGTGATGGGACAAAGCATATAGTTTATAAGTATGTTATGCCAAAGTGTTATTACTAATATGTGATTATTATATACGGAATGGAATTATTCATAAATATAAATCTGAGACTATCATAGTCACTCAACAACTATATCTGAAAATTCGTTTAGATAATTATATAGTTATGTAAAATCGTTAATTTATCTTGAAAGCGTGATTTTAAGTGAGTTGTTCTATCRCTTATATTATTTCCACGTCAGACAAACCTAAYTTTTTTGTACTCGATTTCTATCTTTTTTTTWAATGTGCTTTTCTTTCGCTTTGACTCAAAGCTGAATTTTATATATACTTATACCACCCGATTCACTTATAACTACTAAAGAATAATTATATTGAACCATCTTTAATTTTTTGGGCTAGATTTGTAGTCATGTGTACCTAATAGGTACTTGTTCTTAGATTTAAATTTTATGCTATAATAATGTCGCCCTAGGACTTCTAACGTTCAAAATTCATTCTATTGATAATGGACTAAGCAAGTTGTACTGTTCCTGATTCGTATATATTTTTAATTTTATTCTTGTGACTTTTATAAATATATAGATAACCTGAAATGCTAAAAATATATCTTAARTGGTGATATGCGATGGCCATCACATCATACCTGACACTACATCCTGAATGTTGTATATTTGTCTCACGCCAACGCATATTCTTGGTTAATAATTTCAGGTGTGGTTTCAAAACCGGCGGATGAAGGACAAACGGCAAAGAATCGCYATGGCGTGGCCGTATGCCGTATACACAGACCCGACGTTTGCGGCCACGGTGCTGCAGGCGGCTGCGGCCAGCGCACATGCCAACGGCACGCTGCCCGACATAGCAGCCATTGCCAATGCCTACCAGT